TCGGTGTTTGTAGACAGGCGACTCCCGTTCTAGAACAATTTTCCTTGATATCTTGACTCTCCATTGTTATCTTCTTAGACTGTCACTGTTTGAAGCAACTGTCCAAGGTTTTTCTCCTACTGGTGTCAACAGTACCTACTCTTCATGTCATTTGAAGCAATGGACGTCTTCAGATGGGCTTTCAAGCTCCTTGTTCCAGTCTCATAAACTCTGACTTCAAAATAGACCCAATTAGTGAAAGATGATAATTAACCACCCTTTATACAACAGTGTACACACAGAAGGCTACCCCTGATTCTACACATTTTCTTCCAGCTATGTGCCAGACCTGTCTATGAACTAAAGGGAGGTTGACTATACCATTTAGGTAAACTAGCATGATTTTAGTGTCATTGTTTTACACTGTGCTAACTAAGCCAGAAGACTTGCCACTCTCAATTGTAAGTTAGGAACCTAACAGACCCTGTAATTGGGGACATTTGTTGCCCTTTCAGACGAAGAAGACCACGTTGACCACTTTGGGGCACTTCCTACAGAAAACAAGGATCGATGTTGCAGAGAAGCAGCAGGAAGGAAAGTGAACTAGTGAAAGAAAAATAATTCTCAGCGTATATGGCATTTTGAACTGTATTCTTATGCACTTTTGGTGTTAACTTTTTCTTTTCTCCTTTACATAAGCTTTTGATTATTTCAAGGAGGGCTCTTGAGATCTTCTACGGTAACATATGAAAAGCAGTTTCCCTGGTCTCATCTTTCACAGCATGTACTCATTGGATTTATTATTTCCTTGTCAGAGTTGTGAATCCTCTAAACCAGGGTCTAATTGGCCCCTTTGCTGATTGCTAACGTATTTCTAGAAAATGGCCTTGCCAGATTAATTTAGTCAAGATACATCCAAGATCTTGTCTCTTATAAAGCTGTCATTTTTTTTTATTTTGCTAATTTTAAGTCTTTTTAAAAAAAATTTTAGAAACCCTATGAGAAATTCTTTAAAATTCAAAAGTTATCATCCACAAGCTCTATTAGAAGAAAGATTCTAAAATTTCTCAAAAATATATTTTGGCCCCAAATCACCATTTGTGGTAATGTCTCTTAAAACTTTTTCCTCAGTTTCTTTAAGATACTAAGATGATTCTTGTTGTCTACTTACATCAATAGGGAGACATGAACAACTCTGAGATTCCCAGATAATAATGATATATAAGCATATAATTTTACTGTTATTATCACAATAAATATTATCAAAATACATTTAGATTAGCAGATAATTATTAGTCAGTTTTAGATCTGAAGGAGTAATAATTAATTTATTTCAGAATGTCAAATAGTAATGAGATATTCTATATAAATCATTTTTATCTATCTATCTATCTATCTATCTATCTATCTATCTATCTCTCTCTCTCTCTCTCTCTCTCTCTCTCTATCTATCTATCATCATCATCTATCTATCTACCTATCATCTATCTATTGTGTTAACTGTGATTAGCATGTTATAAATACGGAGAAGTAAAGAACTGGTAAACAAATGTTATACTTGAAGACTTACCTTGGGGTCCGGGGTCTCCTGGTGGCCCAGGTAACCCATCCTTTCCTGGTGGACCAGGTCTCCCATGAGTTTGAGCAGCCAACATCGCTGCTGGTAGCTTGAGCTGGGATAGGAATACAGCCATCCTCTCTTCATTTATAGAAGGAAAAATAATATACATGTTATGGAAATACTTTTATGTTAAAAATTTCCAAATATTTTTTACATAAAATTCAATAAGAAAACGATTTGGTTTTCAATTTAAGCACATCTAATTTACTCACTAGTTTGATTGCCGAGAGAGTGTTTTCGATTGGTTAAATAAAATGGATTGCACAAAGTTTTTGGACTATAGATGCAGACCAGCTATGCTGATCAGAGGATCTGAAAATTTTCAGTGCTTCAGAGATGCAGCTAATCTAGTGGACATGAAAATAACCTAGGATCTAATTAACCTTTGGTAGTGGCTCGTGGAGAGAATTTAGGTTCATATTAAAAAAATGGTTTTAATAATAAATTTAAGCTACTTTCCAACAATGTTGTGAATGTACGTATGGTGATTTAAAAATATGTTCACAAGTTCTTTGACAATCTTTACCAAATGGAACTCATTCTTGAGTGTGGGCTGGAACTTACTTTTCATTTTTCATGAATAGGAAAAAGCAAAATGGACAGTGTGCAACTAGGGAGACTAAGTCTTAAAAGGCACTGTGGCTTCCTGGCTGCTCCCCATCTTAGACTGCTCATCCTGGGCAAAGCAAACTGCTATTTAGTGAGGACGCTCAGGAAGTCCTGTGGTGAGACCCACATGAGGATGAACTAAATACATCTACAAATGGCCATGTGAATAAATTTAGAAGTGGATCTTCCAGCCCCAATCAAGTATTCAGATGACTTTAGCTGTGGCTGAAATCCCGACGGCAACTTCATTATAGACCCTGAGCCAGAACCACACAGTTGAGAAACCCTTCCAGTCCCCTGACCCACAGAAAATGTGAGATAATAAACACTGTTGTTTTAAGCCACTAAAATTTTGAGGTATTTTCTTATGCAGCAATAGATAACTCATGTAGTATGTGACACTTTATATCCTTGAACAAAACTGCATTATTAATAGAGAGGTTTATTTTTTGAAAAGATGGTCACTGGCTTCATATTCACTATGATTTCACTGTTAAATTTCTATACTGGGTGAATACTGTACTTTGTCAACAACTAATTTTTACTTTTTTTTTAAATGTCTTATTATACATTTTCAATATTTGTCTTCTTTTTTTTTTTTTTCTGGTTCGATTTCTAGTTAGTCAGTCCCATTAGCTAGCCAAGGTTTTAGCAGGAAAAATGTCTAATTTGGTCAAAAGAAAAAAATTCAGTTGGTGCAGAAGCAAATGCTCTCATTGAATTCCAGCTGTAGACAGAGTGAAAACAAAACATTTCCATACTTTTCTGTGAACCTGAAGAAAACACTGAAACTGACAACACACAAGTTAAGGGAAGTTGACAAATTACCCAGAATATTTACAAATGTTAAAAAACTTTTGTAGTGTTGAGTGATCTGACCTTTATGTATTGAGTATTTTCTAACTAAGTAATGTTACCTTCTCAAGGAACATATCATTGTCATTTGCTTGCCCTTTTGTTCATCCACCAAACTGCATGGAGCCTAATATTGTTCATCTGAGCTCTAAAGATAGAATCCAGGGAAGGAAGGGAGGACTGTTTAAAGGTATTTCTTTAAGGTGAACTCAGTCATTAGACCAAGGGAGTATCTTTATAGTGGGACAGATGGCATAACTATTAATACTTAGAGACTTATTAATAAGTCAATAATGCTTTTAGATGAAAGTGAGTATACACTGTAGAACACTGTTGTATTAATAATTAAATTGAAAAATTTGGAAAATGGGGCAGTTCAAAAAATGTAAATATGAAAATATAAATAAAAAAATTCACTCTAAATTTCTAAGCAAAATGTATTATTAACTAAATTAAATATTCTCTGTAAGCAGGGCCCTGTATTGGGCATTTTATACTTTTTGCATTAAGTCTTCTTGTTCAGGAATCATGGAGAGAGCTTAAAAGAGATAATTATTTCAATAAAATTACTATGCATATTTTATGAGCCCCAAACACTGTAAAGTGTAATTTATCTGTTGATAAGATCTTTTTATGACTAGAAATCTGTATACGATATAATTATAAGACATTCCTTCTCAGAATTATTTTTTAAAATAATCACTCCAGGATTACACTTGCTATTACAGAATTCTTGGTTATTAATTCCACTTATGCCATTGTTTGGTTAAATATATTACCTCAAGCCTATTCAATATTTTACTACTATATGGAATTATTTTGGTGAAATCATTTATGCCAATTCATCCAAAGTCCATTATAAATACAATCTATCATTGGATTATTTATTTAAACTTGCTTAGTCTGTTTATGATTTGTGTATCTCACATTTAACGAATCTAATATATATAGAACTAGATTTAAATATAAACTGGAGGAAGGCATATCATTGGCATGACAAAAAAAATCAACCACATTGTTTCTGGTTTTCCTTTTTACATATTTTCTTCAAAAAGCAAATTCAAATGATTTCATTTGTAAAACTAACTTACACACAATTTTTCCAGGTCACACTAGTGTGTAATAAGAAATAAATCTTTAATGTGAAAAATTCAGCATAGGTTTGGTGCAGACAAATCTTTCAGAAAATGTTTACTGCTTAAATTAGTGTTTATTTGCAAGTAAGAACAAATAGCAGAAATAATCTAGAAACTATAGCTGCCAGTTAGAAAAAAACAAAGGCCAAATCATACAGTCTGCACCCTTTCTCTGGGTGCAGAATGACTGACAGTGGTGGTAGAAGACCAATGAGGATCTGAAGAATCATTCCTAAGAGTGATATTAAATCACTAGCCCTCCAGTAAAACTTTCTATTACCTATTAATATCTGCCTGGGACATGTTTGGTCGATGTTAATATATTTGTTTCTGGTAACAATAGATAAAACAATAGCTAAAACAAATGTAGTTATACCTTTATGATATAAAATTATAAGCTGTGTTTTATAAAAATATGAAATTAAATGATTATAGTTTGAAATTTTCCATATTATTTGTTGTTTTGAACTTAAAAAATATATATTTTAGTACAATTTTTCTTAATTTAAGACATATTTCTGAGTACCTTTAGTGTCTAAACACAAACATTCACAGTACTAATGTTTGCTCTTTAATGTATGGATTACATTTACAAGTAATTTGCTTTGAGTGTTTTTTAATGTTTTTAGTAAAACAGAAATTTTTTAAAAATAATTACTTCTAGAGTAAATTGTTTAGCTTTAAGATAACACTCAGAAATAGTCATTTAGCATAAAGGTAATTACTACTTCTGAACTCTACTCTAAAGCTCTATTTAAAATAATATTTCTCAGCCTCTAAATAAATTGTAAAGATCTGTATTCTTTATTGCCTTTCTTCTGTTGTTAATTAAACTGTTTTTGGCTAAGCTTTCTAATAAGGCATAAAATTGAAGATAGAAGCTTGCAGAAACCAAACTCACATATTCCATCTGCCAAGGCAAACCCGCAACAGCCACTCTACGAATGAGACCAATGGCTTGCTTTCCTTGGAGAATGGGCTCATTATATAATGCGGACATTAATATGAATGTGATGATAAATTACATTATAGGGAGAAGAAGGGATATTCAGATGTCATTTGGCCCATGTTTCCCTTTTATTTCACAGATAGAATTTGTAAATATTTTCAAAGAGAGAAATTATCTTTTCCTCCTAATGCCCATTCAAATGTTTAATTGCCATTTTCTTGGTACAGCTTCAACTTATTTTCTTTTGTTACCTGTTATGGAAATAGAGAATAGTTGAGTACTTCCCTTGGGAAATCAGTCATATACTTGAAAATACTGTTACCTCTTAGCCTAAGGTTAAATAACTTTTACTCCTAGGCTTGGTAATCTATTTTGTAAATTCCTTTTTGTTTCCCTATTCCCGGGCTTTTCGGTACATCTCGTAAATGTGGAAACCAAAATCAGATGCAGTTCTCTCTTAAGGGGCAAAAATGTAAGAATAGTAATCCTTTTTCATATCTTAATAGTTATTTTCTAATTTCATTTTAACTGTTAATTCAATAGCAACTTTTGATAAATTCATATTCATTTTGTGGTTCATCATGACCCAAAGGTTGTTACTGCTACGTTTAACCCTGGCCCAATCCTTTGCTCCCTCTGTAAACATGTTGCTGTAAAATGTTACTGTGGGTTAAGATGGCAGAATGAAAACATGCATCTGCTTTAACTCTCTCCTGAATCCCTGCAAAGCAATAGTAAGATATTTTTAAAGGCATAGAACCACAGAAATAGTGGGACTATGAAAGGAGACAACAAAATTTCGGAAGCTGAGAATCAGATGGCTGAGTGACAGATGACTTAGCAGATTCCAGAAAATCAAACCTTTACCTAGAAGCTGAGGAACAACCCTGTTTTAAGCCACAAAATTCTTAAAAGGCTCAGCAACTGACAATGCAAGTTACATCAGGAAGTGGGGGTAAAAAAGGAAAACTAAAATAAAGAGAATTGGTTGAAAGCCTGTTTAAGAAGTAGGCTTAGCAATTCCTGTCTCTGCTCCATACAGCTGGGTAGCTGCCCCTCCCCAAGTCTAGCAAAAGACTGAAGGTTTATTATTATGCTAAGTGAAATAAATCAGACAGAGAAAGACAAATACCATATGATTTCACTTATATGTGGAATCTAAGAACAAAACAAACAAACAAACAAACAAACAGAAACAGACTCATAGATACAGAGAACTGGTGACTGCCAGATGGGAGGGGAGTTTGAGAGAGAGATGAAAAAGGTAAAGAGATTAAGTATAAATTGGTAGTTACAAAATAGTCATGGGAATATAAAGTACAGCATTTTGTAATCTTATTCCTTGAAAATTCAACAATGTATTTATAGTTTAGCAAAGAAAATATACTTTGCAAAAGAAGCAGGAACCATGAGAGCCAATGTGGATTTATTTTCTAAAGACAAGTAACTCCCACTTTAGTAAGTTCACAAGTGAGGAGAACGACCTTGATTTTAACAAATCATTTGACAAAATCATGTGATATCCTTGTGAATATATAAAGGAATAGTAGAGTGGATTTTAGGACAACTATATAAATTCAGAGCTCACTAAAACAAAAGATTAACAGAAGATTTGCAAATGGGCAAGAGGACTGCAATGGCATTTAGAAAAGTTTAACCCATGACTCTTTTTTATTCAAAATTTCAATCAACAATTAGAATGATGACATGCTTATAAAATTTAGAGATGACACAAAGTTATGAGGGTCAGCCAAACTGCCTTAGGGGACAATATCCCAAAAGATATCTTTAGGTTGGAACAATGTATGAACATGGATCACCTGAAATTTAAGAAGAAACAAAATTACGCGCTTAGATTTTAAATATGAAAACAGTGTATAATGAGAAACACCTAATTTTAAAGAGTTTGTGTAAGGAACATCCAGGGTTGTTAGTTAATTAAAAACTCAAAATGAATCAATAGTGTGATATGGATGCTTTTTTTTTTTTTTTAAGAAATGCTATCTTAGGTGGCATTGAGTTGTCTGTATCAGGGGTAAAAAAATTTCTCTGCAAAAGGTCGGACAGTAAATATTTAAGGCTTTACAAGATCTACAGCCCCTGTCAATACTAGATTCTGCTGCCCCAGCATGAAAGCAGCCAGAGAAAATATATAAAGGAATGAATGTGACTCTGCTCCAACAAAACTTTCTTTATGAACACAAATTTGAATTTCAGATCATTTTCACATGTCATGAAATATTCTTTCAGTTTAAAAAAAAAAACATGTAAAAGTATACCCCTCCCTGCCACCCCCCCCCCTAAAAAAAGTAAAACCCATTCTTAGCTTGTGGGCCATACAAAAATAGGTGGGCAATAGTTTGCTAAACTCTGCCCTAGTCAAAATACTCTTGGGTGAATGAGGGTTATGTAAAATTTAAGTATTTCTCAATGGCAATGATGGGGGAAGGACTTATTCCATAGAAGAGAAAAAACTAAGGAGGAGGCCCATGGATATTGAAAAATACTTGAAAGGCTGTCATGTAGATCGAGGAAGATACTTTACCTGTGCTGTTTTGAAGACAAGGTATGTTGAGAGGAAGTTACAGGGAGGCAACTTTAACTTAGCATAAGGGAAAATTTTCTAACAAATAGAGCTGCCCCACCATAAAACAGTTTGCCTCTTACGGTCATTGCTGCATGACCACCTTTTGAAAATGTTGCTGAAGGGACAGTCCACGGTAAATAAGAATTACCGAAAGATTCAGAAATGTTTATCAAGAAAATCTAACCTTCAAAAATCCTTAGAACTTCTTGATTAATATACTTCTTTATTTCTTCAAATGAAACCACATCAGCCTAAAGGAGAAAAAAAAAGGTCTGCTAAAATAGAGCATAGCACAAATGAATAAAGAATAGAAAGGTTGGGTTGGTGTGCATACTTGAAGCTTCTGTAGAGATACATTTATCAAGCAAAATGCTTTTGGCAACTGACTATATTAGGCAATAAATATCTTTTGTTTTGATTAAATGCTAGGAAAAAGTTGAAGTGCGTAATTGCTTTAAAAGCTGTGGCTGGAATCCTAACCAGTGATGTGAACATATTTCCTATTGAATGAAGACACATGGCTTCATACAATTAGGAAAGACATTTCCTACTACTTAATTTTCTGAAGTTACAGAATTTGAACAATGTTATCATGATGTTATTATCCCAGGCACAATTTAACTTCAAACCAATCCCTGGACACAGGTAAAGTCCATATCTGACTTGGATTATGTATCGTCAAAGGAAGACAAACTGAAAGAGAACTAATCCAGTGGAAGAGAACTAATCCACTGGAAGAGCAATAACCCAGTATGCTGAATTATTCCTTAAAATGTTTTATTCATGGGATAAAGCTTACTAAGTTTTGCCCATTTCATGGTAAAATTTATTCTGTAATTTATACTTTGCAAGCATATTTCTATTAGGCAATTTTTTAAGAGAAAACGTAACTAGGTAAATGATGTCAGTAGAGATTTTAACCTCTTGACAAATAAATTTACATGGATTTGACAAAGAATCTAACATTTATAATAGTAATGTTTTACTATATATCTCAATATTTTAAAAGGGAGCTATTATTTTTCATGATGGTTAGGGTTCCAAAATATTTTATTTTCTTTGTATTTGGTAGTTTTTATCTGGGTTGTACGTGTGGCATTAAAGATAATGTGATGGGCTCAGAAAGTGATGATTCCTGTAGGACATAATAGTTCCAAGAATGCCCTATTTCAACATTTCGTTTTCACTATGTTTAGCACAAGTGAACCTGAAATTAATGCATCCAATACCAATTATTGACACAGCACTGCAACTTCATTCTATAGGGTTTATTCAAGTAGAGCTTTATTCAAGAGAGTGGGTAAAAATAAAAAAAAAGTATGAAAATTGTGAGAATGCTCAGTTTGGCCCTATATCTGGTATTGATTGATTATCTCAGGACAGCATGTCCTTCACACCGTGACCTCATCCTGAGACTCTCTTTCTAACACGAATATTTTCAGATTAAGTTCCTCTATGGACCAGCCATCCACCAAGCCTCTTGAGGATATTAATAAAGACATGAGCTTCTTTAGCCGAACACTCTTT